AAAAAACCAAAAAAAAAAAACAACTCTCCTACCCCTGAGCTGGGGGTCGCTGAATTTCCCTCCATCCACTGCGTCAGAGTATAGGGCGGCAGTTTGGGTTGAAACTTGACAATAAAAAGACCCTTGTGTGCTTGTATCGGAAACCAGCTCCTTGGTGATCTCTGGGGGTTTTGAGACACGGGTACAACAATGGCTAGCAAGATTGCTCCATGAGGAAGTGTGCTTGCTACCAAACCTGACAACTGAATATGATGTGCAGGACCCATATGGTAGAAGAAGAGTTCTACTCCTGCAAGTTACCCTCTGATCTCTACACGTGTCGCAGCACGTGGCGGGGGGAGGGGGGAGGAAGAGACAGAGAGAATAACTAATTAAATATAATAATATTAAAAAACCTGCTGGGTTTGGTGGCGTACACCTTTAGTCCCAGCTCTCAGGAGGCAGAAGAAGCAGGTAGATCTCTGAATTTGAGCCCAGCTTGGTCTACAGAACAAGTTCCAGGACAGCCAGAGCTACACAGAGAAACTCTATCTTGAAAACAAAACAAACAAAAAAACTACTTTCAGATGCAACTATATCTATTCAAGCTTGATTTTAGATTCCACTTTCTGATATACCATTTTCTATCTTTTCGCTGTCAGTCTGGTTGTTTTTGTTTGTTTTTTGGGGGTAGGGGAGGTTTTTGGAGGGAGGACTTTATAGTCTGTTGGGTTTTGTTTGTTTGTTTGTTTGTTTGTTTGTTTTCCGTTTTTCAAGACAGGGTTTCTCTGTGTAGCTTTGCGCCTTTCCTGGGTCTCACTCTGTAGCCCAGGATGGCCTGGAACTCACAAAGATCCGCCTGCCTCTGCCTCCCAAGTGCTGGGATTAAAGGCATGCACCACCTCCGCCCGGCTAGTCTGTTGGTTTTTAATTCAGCTAATCTAGCTCTTTTAATTGAACAATTAAACCCATTTGCATGTAGGATTATTATTGAGAAGTATTTGCTGAATCCTGTCTTTTGTTGGGTTCTTCCCCGACTCCTGTGCTGGTTAATCTGAGTAATATCTGTTTATTTTCCTTCTCTCTTACTCACCTTAGGAATTTACTAGTTGAACATGTTCGGTTCCTTCCTAATTCTCACGTGTTAATCTATTACTCTTGTGAAACTGTTTTCTGCACTCTTATGTCTGGACCTTTCTTCATCTACCATATGAGAGCCTTTAAGTTTCCCCCACAACGCTGACTTACAGTAATGAAGTCACCTTTAATGTTTCCTTATCCTGGAAGAATTTTTTTTCTTCTGAGGCAGGCTTTCTCTGTATAGCCCTGGCTATCCTAGAATTCTCTCTGTCTCTCTCTATACACCTGGCTGGCCTCGAACTCTGAGATTCACCTGCCTCTGTCTCCTGAATGCTGGAATTAAAGGTGTGCACCACCACAGCCCAGCTTCTTAGAAGATTTTTATCCCCCCCTGCAATACTAAAAGATAACTTTTCTGGCTGGGCATAGTGGCACACACCTTTGATTCCAGCCCTCAGGAGGTAGAGACTGGCGGGGCAGATCTGAGTTCAAGATCAATATGTTCCAGGACATAGTGAAGCCTACATAGTGAGACCTTGCTTCAAAAAAAAAAAAAAAAAAAAAAAAAAAAGAAAGAAAGAAAGAAAAGAGAAAGAGAAAAGAAAACTTTT